CAGGAGTTGTTGGATGACGTCAACAACGCTCAAGTTTGCTCAAACGGTCATAAACTGGTGATGAAACGTGGTATATGTTATGACGTCAAACCAATAATCTTCAATGGAGCTGCCAGATGGTGGTGCATCCTGAGTTCCTACCAAAGGTCGTACAGTTAATATAAATACTATAAGTAAGTTATACAGCTCAAATCAATGCTTATTCGTAATTTTGTCCAAAACAAAACTCAATCATGCCTCAACACGTATTCACCAGATTTGGCTCCTCGACCTTAGTCGTATTTTCAAAACTAGATAATTAAATTGTCGATTACTTTGAAAGTAAAAATACATGATGAATAAATAAATTACTCATCTTTCTTAGACACATCTCATATTTCAGATTATCTATAGATCGATATATCTTTTCTTAAGTAAAAATTTCCGTATCGATATAAATATCAAAAATTCAAATTAAATGCAGCTCACTGAATGTTCCAAAATCTAAGAAAATATAATCTCTAACTTAAAACAAAATTTTCATAATATTCTAGAAACTTTTCGGAAGAAATAATTATAGTTAAGAGCTATTAGTTTGAAAAACTCTTTCAAACATTTTCATAACCGAAAAGTAATTTTGAATAATTATATTAATTTTAGTAAGTTGTAGTTCCCAGATATAAACGTCGAAAACCGAAATTTTTATATGCCTGTCGTCTATATCTATGAACTAGTCTCTCTTAGATATGGTTTTGAAATTTTGAAAACGTCCTTTCACCCAAGCTGCTCATTTGTCGGAATTGCCGATATTGGATCACAATGTCATATAGCTGCCATACAAATTAAAAATCTAAATTTTGCTCTTTTGAAACTCTTTATTTGACAAGATATTTTCTAAATCGGTGTTTGGCCGGTGGTGCTATAAAAAGTGCTATAAGAAATGTATAGATATATAGCTTCGTTAGCAAAGTTGACATTTTTATTTTTGGTTTTTAGTATTGGTATACATTTTCATAAATAAATTCATTTTATTGTTGAATGCGTAATTCATCTGAACCATTGCCACACCAAATACAAAGCACTTAACCATACACGGACCTTAGGTCATTCTACCACTTCAGCGGGTGTGCACATAATATCCATTCTATGAACCCATGTACCACATATAATACATATGAATATTTATGAGGGCGCGAACAATGCGCTAATTGATTTTGCAAGTTAATCAATCAACTTTTTCAACTCTAGATAAGGTGCAAGTGCGAAAAGGAAACAAAAGAATGCATAAACAATGAAAGAATGTTGGAATATTTTTAATGAATATGTATTAAAGCTATTTCTAATCGCTCACGAAACACATACGAAAATGAATTCGTCATCTCAATGCATTATTTTGAGTAAAATTCCACAGGCATTTAGTAATTATGTTGCGTAAAAATTCTAAGAGGCTCACAGTATAAAAATTCCACATTATGAAGGATATTCATAAGCTCTCTTTTACCTATCTCTAACTAATATGGCACGCTATTGACACCTTGCATGGGAAAGTTTTCTAGAATATCTCAATCTGACGGGATTACAGACGATATGACAATATCTGTTGCACACAACATCAATAGTTTCCGGAACAACAACTGGTTTGGACGACATTCGTCTTGAATGATCTACGACCTCGATCAGTTAACCATACATCGATAAACACTGGTGTTAATAGGCTTCATCGCCAAAATCTAAGTTTGTTCGTCTAAAGTTGTAAAAATCGCGCGAAAATGTTCGAGCTTTAATTCTATTTTAGCCTGAGATGAATATTTTAAGTTACTTAAACAACACAAATAGCTCAAAATGTAAATTTACAATAAAGTTGTGAGTAATATGCAATACAAGGTGCTAACCTACTCATAAAACACTCTTACGGTATCGAACAGCAAATAATTTCTTCCGAATAATAAAACAGGTAACCTTGAAATAAAGTAACTACAACTTCACTGCGAAATGGCATCATCAAATAATACAGTTAGCTTAACGGCCAAACCGCCCGTACTTCAATAGATAATTTTGTTGGTTGTTTCGCAGAATAGCGAATTTATTTGCATTTCAATGCCGGTCACTGTGCCAGAGACTAGCCCAAAAATTTCAAATTAAACACAAAAGCAGCGGGGGCAGATTTTATTATGCCAGCATATACATATGTATAGGTATATGTATACAATGATTTATATTTGTATATATATATTTATATTGTAGGTAGCTCGCAGATTTTTGCAATGCGTTCACTTTGTATATTCATGCTTTTGAATTTCTGGTGTCCTCTAGCCGATGCGAGAAATTTTTTAGTTTCCCTGCTATTGCGCAGTGCCGCAAAATGTTTGACAGCCATGACAAAAGTTGTGCAAAACAATTTTTAACAGTTATTTCAACACTTTTGCTTTTGCTTATTATATAGTTGCTTTCTGTGTGGTTGTTTGTGTGTGCGCATGTCCAACTGTTTGACAAAATATTGGAATTTTGACAGGCAGATTGACAGTCGTTGTTTTGCCTAAGTAATGTGTAAGTTTATACATGTATGTGTATGTGGCTGTGTGCATTGGCGTTGATTGTGTGCTTTTTGTTATCTGTTTATGGTTTTATTCACTTTAAGACAGCGTTAATGTGTTTTATTGCGTGGAAACTTTGCACAGACCATAAATGAAGCATCACGACACACGCACATACATGCACATATAACTACTTACATATATTATATATATATTTATATATTTATACCCTTAACAAGGTATATTAAGCTTGCCACGGTGTTTGTAACAACCACACTGAAACGTCAGAGAACCTATAAAATCTATATAGTTATAAATGATCAGCGTGACGAGCCTGTATACGAACTAGTCCCTCAGTTTTTGAGATATCGATCTGAAATTTTGCATACGTAGTTTTCTTCCTAAGGGTTACTTATTTATCGGAAACAACGCTATGTGATCACTATAGTGTATAGCTGCCATACAAACTGTAACCACTGAAAAAATTCTCAAGATCGGATCACTATATCATATAGCTTTCATACAAGCTGAGTAATCAAAATCAAGTTCTTATATGAAAACTTCTTTATTTGTGTAGGTTATACCAGCTTCGGTGTAACCGAAGTTTGCGTTTTTTCTTATTTTATACTGTGCTTGCTGAACTGTCAGATTTTATCTGGCTGCGTTGTGATAGTGGTGGTTTTGTTGTTAGATGATCTCAACAAAGCCGGCTTTAACCATGAACATTTGACGCGTGTATCTCTGTGGGGATTTGATAAGTTTTGGCGTTGGCTTAAACTATATTCATATGAATACAAATGCATATGTATACGCGTTATGTGACGTCTACGCCTTCAGCATGCACTCAAAGCTTCGCAATAGTTGTTGTGTAGCTTTTTTTAGGCACAACAATTGTTTGACGAAACAATAGCCAAAAGATTCAACGTTATGTTAGTGCCAAAGTATTAAAATACACAACTATATACTTGTATGTATAGGTAAGTATATAAACATCTATATACATATAACACCTTTTATGCATAAAACTATTAAAATAAAGCAACCACCCGCATGGTTAAGGTCTGTTAATAGCTCAATGGTCATATCAATCAATCTTGTTACTTAATTAAGTGTGAACATTTTAAAAATACAAGTACTTTGCTATTTTCTTTTGCATTTGCTAAATTGCTTTGATGCTTTAACCTTCAGCGCTAAGTTGTTTCGCCCAAATTTGGCATTGTCGTCGATTAGTGTCAATCGGCCTTCTTCGTTTCCTTAAATTGTTTGGCATATCTTGTAGATTTATGATATGCATTCAATAAAGATTGAATGGAAATAAATATTTTAAATTTATTTTTTGTGAACAACCAAGTTTTAAAGTTTTCAGCATAATTTGCAAATATAATTTTACTATAAAAAGTATGTCCATTTGTGTCCAAATAAATGACTTTTCTATAGAAATCAATTATTTTAGCGATTTGCTATTATAACCAATGGCAGCTTTTAACAGTACTTGGTAAAGTCAGATCTTATCTTTATGCTGCTTTATGCCATTGACATATACAATAAATTAAAATATAGTTAAAGAAAATGCTACAAATCATTTCAAACAGGAGTTGCTAGACAAGATCTGATGTCACATTGTATTTGAATTGAACTGATTTGACTTTAAATATTGATAACTTCTTAAAAAAAACATAATATAACTAATACAAATACTAACACAAAAATATGCAGAAAATATTCCGAAAAAGAATAAACGTCATTTAATATACATAGGTCATGTGATGTGATATTAAATCATATGATGTGACAAAACATCACGTGACGGTTTTGAATCAATAAAATTAAGCCAAATGCTGAAAAATATATTTATTTCTTAATTTTAGATCAAAATTTTATAATTTCATCACGTTTCTGTTCTTATAAGAGCATTGTGCTTAAGTTTGTTGAGCAAGATTGAGCGTAAAAAATCTTGTGTAGTACTGAGAGAAAATCTGGAAAGTTATTAATTGTCCGATGACTAAATCAGCACTTTTTATCTTAGAGGCAGTTGTATTCTTAAAAAAAAATTGTTCTCTACTAGTTAAACATTTGAAATTGATTAATTACTAAAGAAATGCTATATCGAAATCATATAGCAAATCGGTTTAAAGTTCTCGATGGAAATTGCAATGAATAAAAAACCGATTTTTACAGACGGAAGATTTCCTTAAATGACACAAGCTTTTTTGTCTGCTTGGCATCTGTTTTGTATCATGTTAAAGAATTTTTTTTTGTTTTTTTTTGCAAAAATCAGATTTTATTATTTAACTAAATAGCGAAAAAAAAAACAAAGAAGGTTTATACCTTTTTCTATAATTTATAATAAATTATGCATCCCAAAATATAAAATTCTAAAATCGCACTAACGTCTCATTAATATATTCTAATGAAACTAGATTAGAAAGGAACCAAAATAACCAAATTTCAACGCACACACATAACAATATATTTCAAATCACTTACATATTATTCGTATTCCGTTCGTGGTCGGCACTTTACAGATTATTCACACTTGTGCACGCTCTTTATATAATCCACGCACGTGCCGCTTCAAATCGAGCACTATCCAGGCTATACGAATGATAAGTGCCCAGCCGAACGAATTGTGTATGTGCGAATGCAAAAGCGCTACAAATTTTTACTACACCTTAACGAAGTTCAATAGGAACCGCTAGATCAACAACAAAAATAAAAAAAAAACGTACACAACTATTTATTTCAAGCCAATTCTGCAGACGCTGTCAGTTGTTCGTACAACATCCGCACACAAATCACAATAATTTCACTTTTGTTATTTTATCGCCTTAACGATCGTACATTCAAACGTAATTTAATTTATTTTTGTTTTTATTTTATTTTTTTTTTAATAAAAAAATTACCAAATTAAAACCCGAACCAACAGCGCGGCGCAGGTGAAGTGTATTTCTTCTTTATTTCCTGAAAATTCGTATGACATATAAATTCTTTTTTGAGCGTTTCTGAGTATTTTATAGAAAAATCGTGAATTATTTGTTTCAGCGATTCTTTTGACACACTTCTAAAAATATTTAAGAAATAAAATTTTAGTATTTGAAACACTGTTTTAAAAGCAAAACTGCAAAAACAAGTTGTGCGAATGTGGAATGCTTTCTAAACGCTCAGATTTAATTGCTTCATTTAAGCAATTTATTGGCCTTTTGCACTACACATTCACGTATACTTAAATAGAAGCACAAAAGTTAAACACGTTTTCATTTAAACTTAAAAAAATATGGAAATTTAATAAATTTTTCTCTCTAAAAATAGAAAAAAATTCGAATATAATTTTTGCCAACACTTTCACGTAAATCTAAATTTTAAATATAATTCTTATATATGTATATTTCTATATATTTTACATAGATTCCTATTTCGTTTCACGCGTCGCCGCAAAAGCACGTCCGTTCAGTTCGGTATAACTTGACACTTTACGCGAAGCATGCATTGAGATCGCTCGTTTTCGCTACCGTTTGCCAACTACAAAACCTACTGACGGCCGTTGCGTTTTTCGGCCAAATGTCTAGACCTTTTTGTCGTTCAGCAGCGTAGCATTTGAGTTTATGACTTTGCGCTTGTTGATTTTTCGACTCACTCACTACTTAGGAAGTTTTTATGCTCAGTTAGCTCCGTATGCTCGAGTTTGTTGCTTAAGTCTTTCGTTTCGTTTGAGTGTGCAAAGCAGTCAACAGTGTGTAGATTTCTTATAAGCAGTGAATATGAGCTATTTTGTGAGAACTTTTTCTAACGGATCTATAATTTTAAAAACGATTTATTGTATACTTTTTTCTAATATTTGATATATAAGTAAAACCATGCAGAATTATTTCACTCTAGTATGATTATATTAAATTAAAATTGTAAGACTAATTTGTAGTTGAAAAATCGAAATTTTAAATCAAAAATTAAATATTTAGTTTTTGATCCCTAATTCAGAAGTAAAAATAATATAATATAAATCTATCTGTCAGTATTTAATATCAGCTATTATGCGACCTCTAGTTTAAAATTGTAGAACATGAACTAGGCAATCGCAAAAAACATGTAAATTCAAAAACATTTTTTTTTTTTAATTTCAATTATGGACTTAATTTTTTTTACTAGTATTTGGGTTTGAAAATTTATTTTCAATTTTTCAAACCGATATTAAGAATTACAAAATAAAAAAAATTATTTAAATGTTAATTCAATTATTTTTCTAATGCAATCTATTAATATTTAATGAAACACACAAATAATTTAAATTATTTATAAGATTGCACAATATTTCTTCAAAGTATATTTGATTTAAGTTTATGTTGTAAACCTTCTTTTGCAGTTTCATCTTAAAAAATATACTTATATGATTTACTTATATCTTATGATATGATACTCGATATTTGTATAAATGATATTTTATCCATGCTTGCAGCACTGTGCGCTCTCGAGACACTCTAGCACATATGTAGGTGCATCTATTTAAGAGTATATATGTATTTTTTGAAAATATTTTTATTTTGTAAATTTTTGTTAACTCTGAAACATTGTTGAATATCAAAGTTATACGTGAGTGCGCGCGTGTGCATGTGTGTGTGTTTGTGGCTCGTAATATTGTTATGTAGCTGGTAGTGGGCAGCGAAATGCCGGTTTGGCAGTGCTTCATTACAGCTGTGTCAGCTGTTTTTGCCACAACAACTAAACTCAATCGAATTGCTATTGTTTAAAATTAGTTTGTGCTTTTTGTTTACTTTTATTTGCTTTTAAATTATTTAATTTTTTTGGTCTGGCTTTGAACTGGTTATGAGCACTTTTTGTTTCATTTGCCTCACAGCCGCACTCACGCTCGCACCACAGTATTATAAATTAATTATTCCGTTTTTATAGGAATTTCAGCAGCTCGCCACTTGCACGCGATAATTTTGCTCCAACTTTGCTCCAACTGTGAACAGAAATTTGTGAGTCGCCTAAAATTTCGTGCATATGCATTTGACCAGATGGATTATTGTCGATTTTGTCATTCGACCGGCTTGGCTTGTCGTTTAATAGCTGCGAACATTGTTGGTTTTGGCAGCTTGTTGTTTTTGTTGCATTGTAGAGTGCGCGCCGGTAGCAACGTACGCATGTTGTACCAGCTGCTGAATCTGTTTCTTGTTTTCCTTGTTGCTATTGTTGTTGCCTTAGCCACTTGCTGTGATGTCACACAACGCATGGCTGTTGCTCCGAAAAGCCAACGGCATTTTTTCAGCCTGACGTATCAATGTGACAGCGCAACTAGCCATTGCATCTGCTTCCATATATACATACACACACACAAACTTAACATGCACACATATTTAGTTATTTCATCATAGCTTTTATTTCGGGTTTTGCATTGTGGATTTTCAATTGTCTTCAGCTATTTTTAGAAAATTTATCTGCTATATCGTGTTCGTTATTTATTGTTTTTTTTTCCTAAAATTAACTTAAAAATTTCTTCTTCTTCTTTGTATTAGTATGCGTGCGTTCAAAAAGCTTAAATAATTATTATTATACCCTGAACAGGGTATATTAAGTGAGCCACGAAGTTTATTACTCGCAGAATGAAACTTTAGAGACCCTACAAAACTTATATATATATAAATAGTCAGCGTGACGAGCTGAGTCGATTTAACTATGCCTGTCTGTTTGCATACATGCGAAATAGTCCCTTAGTTTTTGAAATGTCGATTTGAAATGTTCCACACGTCCTTTTCTACCCAAGAAACTGATCATTTGTCGGATCTGCTGATATCGGACCACAATATTACTTCTATATAGCTGTCATACAAACTGACCGATCCAAATCAATATAAAGGTCTTTTTATAACTTTTTATGCCATAAAAAATGCACCTGTGAAGGGTATTATAGCTTAAGTGCAGCCGAAGTTAACGTTTTTTCTAGTTTTTGTTTTTCTTTTTGTCTTTAGTAGCAATTTTGTACTAGATAAGGTAAGGTTAGTAAGCCCAAATATGAGTAAGAGATATTAGTGTGGTGATATAGAAAGCAAAATGGATGAGTGAAACATTCAAACCCTGAAATGTGAATAATGGTTATGGCCCTGTTACTATGTATAAATATTTGTCGATTCCATTCCAATAATTTTCATATTAAAAATTCATCGGGTGCAAGCGTCATGTAAGCACTGTTTCGATTGACCAACAGCTAAGCATTGCGGAAAAAATCGTTTGGAACCATTTAAATAAGACTGGATAAAAAAAAAGCTAGATGTATGGGTGCCATATGAGTTAACACAAAAGCGTAATTAATCGAATTTTCATTTGCGAATCGCTGCTGAATCGCAATGAAATCGATTCATTTTAAAAGCGAATGATTAGTGGTAAAGGACAAAGAGAACATGAGATGAATATGGTCGTATTAGAATCGCGGTGAGCCGACGCAAAGGTTAAGCGGTTTCGAGTAATGTTGGTCACCGACTTTGAAAACACCATTCTGAGAAACACGCGTTTAAAGTTCTCCGGCTCCGGCGTTGTACTTCCAAGCACTCTGAAATTTTAACACGAAATTTACTTTAAAACTGAGTGGGCCCTCTAGATGTAACAAAAATTATTTTTTTTTTTATCAAACCATTTTCTTTTTTTATAATCTACAGATTTTGCGCTCAGACTAAGCAAAAATAAATACATTTTTTTTCGCTCCACCCTAATGTACATTAAAAACAAAAAAATTCAAAAAAAAACAATAAAAAAAGGAAAATTCTAACTGTGTGTAACCCCTTATCCATAATTTTGTATCAAAATATCGATATGCAATTTTTTTTACCTTCTCAAATACATGTTCAATAACGCCTGAATCGAAAATCGATTATTTTTTCTTTGGTCCAAGAATCGAAAATCGATTATTTTTTCTTTGGTCCAAGAATAAATTGTCAAAGTCAGGCTTTTTTGAGTAGTATAGACTGACCTAATCACTTTATAAAGATATCGAAACCAAACTTGTGTAACTCTAATGTGCAATCCTTGATCCAGAACGGGTCACAATATGATTAGATGCCATATATAATATTTATTAAATCGATGCCAAATTTCGCTGGCTTGCTTATACCTAATATAATAATTTTCTGGACTTGACCATGCATATCGGTTAGATAGTGCTATATTTCAATACAATAAAAAAGTTTGCCACATTTGGAAGAAATCGGTTCTCACTTTCGCTTTTTCATAAATTCCGCACATTTGCATTAGTTTCGCTACAATTCTATTGATTTTAAGAATTTTAGTCAAGAGCTGGTATTTATAAAATGAGCCTTTTTTAGGTCTGATGTTTCTTCCACTACTTTGCATTTTCAATCGGCATGCAAGAATAAAACATAATTGCCAAGCCATATATGGTAGCAGTATCACATAACATGTCGCAACTGTTGCTAGCTCAATTAGCAAATGTGGCAGGGTTGCAGATATATCGCGACAACAAAATAAATAAGCATGTTGAAAAGTTACATATTTGACCATTTATCTGCGCGCACAAATCACTTTATTTGTTAGCTTGATTTATCTTGAATAAATATTACGCCGATTTGACATGCTAACGGAGTAACGAGTTCCGTGTCGCCGCTCGCAATGTGTTACACTTTTAATTGCTTTGCAATACAATTGGTATGTAAGCATAAATTAGAATAGAACATGTCACGAAGTTGCATGTCGATTGACATTTCAGCGCCCAGTTGCCGAAGACAGGTAGGTACATTTGCCCGCACATGTTAAGCGAGTGTGTTTTTCACCACTTCACAAGAGCATTATTACTTCGGTTTATTGGTTATACACGCGACGTTATTTAATTAACGACGACAAAAATCGCTGTTGACTTTTACAAACAAACATTAAGTTATTATGGATATTTTTGGGTAGTTGACTATGAAAAACCGGAAATTTAAACAACTCCGGAAGTTGACAAACTGCCTTTGGCCAATTTCGATTATTTATGACTGACGACTCGTTTCTAGAGTTATTTTCTAGCAAACATGCTTGTTTGTACATATAATGTTTGTATGTATGCATATGTATGATTTTATACTTACCATGTGTATAGCTTTAGTTTATTTCTTGCTCCGGCTTCTTCTTGCCGTGTCGTTGTTCACGCTTCTTTGGTTTGGACAATAAACGCCATTGTTTGTTTTACACTGTTGCCAAACATATGCAAATCGCATTGATTAGTGATGCAACAAATAGTTAAACAAATATTCGATTATGGTAAATTCAGTTAAAAACGCTTACAATTAAATAAGTAAGAAAAGGCTGAGTTCGGGTGTAAGCGAAAGTTGTATAATATTGCATTATGCAAGAAACAAAGGTGTGAAATTTTTTCCAGTTGTCACTTTGTCAAACAAATGTAATATATTATATATTATATTATATTAGTTATATTGGGAAAGGAGGAAAAAATCACTAGACTCTCTACAACCATAAAGACAGAAATAACTATAGTGGTTATATGATGGTTAAGCCAATGTTTGGACCGACACTTTTAATTTTTCGCACCGAAACATATTAATGATTCCAAAATTTAATGTTATTACAATAACCGTTGTTGAAAGAAAAAGACAGACGGAAATTCTAAAAATAAC